GCGGACAGCCAGTCCGCCAACCAAGCCGCATAGATAGGAAGGCGTTCTTTCTGTCTCGCAGACAACGTCAACAAGACGGTCGCTTTGTCGCGAGATGCAGACTTGCGCACCCGCTTTGGCGGCGCCTGCTCGATAATGGCGTGGCAGACAGACCCCCCGTAGCCATACGAGCACACAGCTGCGCGCCGCACGCTATCGTCAGGCCACACTCTCGCTTCACGTGCTACCTCGAGACCGCTAGACTCCCAGTCTATGTGGGTGTTGAGGGTTTCCAAGAGCGCCTGGGGCGCAATGACTCCTTTTTGCACGCTGAGCACGGTCTTGACAACGCTGATGGCGCCAGCCGCTGCTTCGAGGTGGCCAACGTTGGGCTTGATAGAGCCAAGATAGCAGGGGTCCTTTCGAGACCTCCCTGCCCCATACACCTCAGCCATGGCCTTGATTTCTGTCGGGTCTCCGAGCGGCGTAGATGTTGCGTGGGCCTCGACGTAGTTCACAGTATGCGGATCGATATCACCAGCGCGACGGAGGGCCTGTCTCGCCACATCAGCCTGCGCTGCACCGTTCGGCGCCATGATGCCCTTTGTCTTTCCATCTTGGGCGGAAGCAGAGCTCTTCAAGACCGCCAGGATATTGTCGTTGTCCTCCTGCGCAGCACTGAGCCGCTTGAGGACGATGATAGCACCCCCTTCGCCACGGGCGTACCCACTCGCAGCGGCATCGAACGAGCGACACACCCCCTCAGTCGTCAGTGCGCCAGCTTTCTGAAGCATGTGCGTGATGCCAGGAGCACAGATGACGTTCACGCCGCCACAGATGGCCACTGTGCTCTCTCCTGACATGATGGCCTGGCGGGCCAGATGGAGGGCGACGAGCGAACTCGCACAGGCTGCGTCCACGGCTGTACTCGGACCTCTCAGGTCAAAGTGATATGAGATCCTGTTCGAGACGCCATGGTGTGCTGTGCCGATACCGCTCCAAGCCTCTATGGCCGGCAAGTCATCCATGACCGTACGTGAATAGTCGTCCGAGTCGACGCCTATATACACGGCAGTATCGCTGCCAGCGAGCCTGTCCGTCTGGATGCCTGCAT